ACTGAAAGTATTCCAAAATGTCAACAGTGAGTGACTTGAACTGAATTATTCCTCTTCACTCTTTTTATTTCCTGAATTTCCTTTCATGAGTCGTGGCAAGGAATAAGAGATTAAAGAGAGTGGTGTAGACAATCAAGTTGGAGTTTAAAAAGCTGTCTGACCTTGACACACTATTTAACTTCATCAGCTCTCAGTTTTCTCATCTATAAAGCTGGAAAATAACACCTATGTGGAGGGTTTGCCAGGAAGTTTAAATGAATTATGATATTCAAATCACTCTGAACAGTGTCTGACATGGTGAGGTTATCTACATGAAGCTAGAGATGAAGCCAGAGATGAGGGTATCTAACAAAATTGATTTTTCAGAGTTTGGAGTCTAAGGAGAGTATTGGTTTAATGAAAGGCCCCCTCCGCTTACTGTGATATGAGAGAGACCAGAAAAAGTACCATTATCTGAACTTTCTTGTGAAGCAAAGGATTGCAGAAGCGGCTCCAGTGTAGGGCAGGACTCCACTGGGTACTGGGTAGGGAGGACTATGAGTCCCCAACTGAGGACCCTGTGTCTCTTGTGGGTGATGTGTGTGTGACAACAGCCACTCTGTTAAGGGGCGGTGCCCCCTTCCCTGCCCCACTTACAGTTAGCTGCTTTGGGCTAGCTGCAGGGAACTGTGGGCAAGGCTGAGTGGTCAGGTTCAGCTGTATAACACGGAAGGCAGGTGGGATTGAGGGCAGCTCTCTTGTTCCTGCAGCCACAACTTAAACCCAGGTTCTGTTTCCTGCTCTGTGGCTGGTGAATCCTCCCACCCCACACACATCTCTGGCCTGTCCTCCAGTTCTTTTATGCATAAGTAAATAAATCTTTAAAAAAGTAATAAAAGAAATTATTACCCAATTGCCCAGTCCCTCATGGGCAAAAGTCCAATCAAGCAAGGTTGGCTCCAAAGGGCGTTGCTGAGGCCTGAACACTTGCCACAGGAAAAGGGTTCTGAAGCAGGCCCCAGAAAGCAGGGACCACAAAGGTGATGATACCACATCAGTAACAACCACCATCATCAGCTTCCCTGTATGTCCCTCATTCACGTCTTTTTTTTTTTTTTAAAGATTTATTTATTTTATTCTTACAGAACTGGGGTACAGGCCAGAGGTGCAGGGACAGTGGGAGGATTCACCAGAGACAGAGTGGGGAACAGAACAGGCAGATGGACGAAGTACACTGCTGAGGGGGCAGTGGGCGGGTCAGGAGAGGTCTGCTGTGCTCTGTGGGTCACCTCCGGGGCTGGCGGGGATCGAACTCATGTTGAAGTGACTTTAGCTTCTCAGTGCGGTGCTCTAACCCGCTGTGCCACCAGGGAGGGCCCCACGTGTCTTTTTCAAGCGTCTCTTCCAAGCCCCAATCCCAGCAGCACTGTTATCAGTGTTGCCCTCAATATAAAAATAAGAGCTAGAGGAAGGTAGGTTGAGGTTAATATGATTTCCTTTACAAAAACTTTTGTGCAGCTAGACATACAATTTATCATTTTAACATTTTTTCGGTGTTCTAATTGATGGCATTAAGTACATCCCCACTGTTGTGTAACTGTCATCTCTATCCATTTCCAACAATTTTTCATCATCTCAAACTGAATCTCTACCTATTAAACAATAACTTCCCATGCCTCCCTACTCAAAAGTTCCTGACATCCACTGTCCTACTTTCTGTCTTGAGTTTGCCCATTATAGTTGCCACATGTAAATGAATCACACAAACTTCTTTTATGTCTGGATTCTTTCATTTAGAATAAAACTGTCAGGAATAAAGCTGTCAAGAGTATCCATGTTGTAGCATATGGTGGAATTCTGTCCCTTTCTAAGGATGCACTAATCTTTCATATGTGTATACCATATTTTAAAAATCCACTCTACTTTAAAATAAACCAATAAGATCTTCCCTGGTGGCACGAAAGATTAAGCACAGCGGCGCTATGAAGCTAGCCACAGCTGCTTTAGCAAGAGTTCCATCTCCCCTACCAGGGAGGTAGCCCACATGGCTTGGCAGACCTCTCCTGACCCACTCCTTGCTTCCTCAGCTGTGTGCTTTGTCAATCTGCCTGCTCTGCTCCCCACTCTGTCTCTGGTGAATTCTCTCAATGCCCCTGCACCTCTGGCTTGTAGTTCTGTATGCATAAATAAATAAATCTTTAAAAAAATTTATCTTAAAAACATAGTGTTTATTTGACAATAGGGAACACATTGTCAGGCCACAGCCCAATTTGTAGCTTGGTAGGATGGGACTTTGTTAAAAGGTTTTTTAAAAGACAAAAGTGGCAGGGAAGGATAGAATTGCAAAAGCTGTTTTCCAAGAATTAAGATTCATCAGAGCTCATTGGCTTTTAGTCAAGCGGACTTGCTTAATGTGAACTTAATGTGAAGAGAAGAAAAAGAAAATTATCTTTTCACAGTTTGGGGTGAAGGCCATGCTTAGCTGGAAACTGGTTCTTGTCAGTTTTTAACTTTTAAAGATTTCAACTTTAAAAGTTAAAAATGTGGTAAGATGGAGTTTCCAGCACAAAACAGAACTGGTTTACTTTGTTCTGAACATCCTTTTCTCATACACGTATCAGTGGACATTTGGGTTGTTTCCACCTTTGACTCCTATGGATAGTGCTGCAGTGAACTTGTGTGTCCATGTTGATCTCTGCTCTCGGTGCTTTCCTCCTGCACCCCACCTTCTCCAGCACTCCAGCAGTCCCTAAATCCTAGGGCAGGTTATGGTTAATTAGGCAGCTTCAGAACAGTGCAGGTAGGGATCCTGGAGGGCTAGAGAGCCTTCTGAGAAAAGGGCAGAGAAATCCAGGAGGGCTAATGAGGACAGTAAATTCTAAGAGACCTTGGACAGGGGAGGTAAAGGAGAAAACTTAAGAGTTGGGAAAATGGGCACATCTTCCCAGAGGAGTATGGGGACTGCGGAGACAGACAATCACAAAGTACTATGATGAGATTTTAGAATAGAGAAAAAAGTGTAAATATCCGCTACAAACTGGTCCATAACATCTTCTTCAATCCTTCCAGTTGCAGCACACCTAAGAGTCCTTGCTTTTTTCCTTTAAATAAACTGTTCTTTACCTTTTTGAATAAAGTTTGCTTTTCTCTTCTTACTTGTCTAAGAAGCCTGTGGGTTCCTTTTTATATCTTCGTGCCACAGGAACCTGTGGTGGTTCCAGGGCTAAATTCCTGGCTTTCCAGCTGCAGCAGTAACAGTGTTCACCAGCTTCATCACTTCTTGTCTTGGAAGACAAAGACAGGCGTAGTTAAGTCAGAGTGAGAACTGTGGGGTAATTTGAGTTTTATGGCAAATAATCTGGGCTGTAGACATTGTTCTTAGAGGTAATAACAAGAAAAGCAGATTTGGAATAATGTACTTTCTTTTTTGCTTACTCACCTACTAAGTGCTCTGATTTAATTATTCTAGCCCTGAGTTTGATGTAAAGGGGATATGTCAACTCCCCTTCTAAATCTCCACCTAGAAAAGCTCACTATTGCTGGTTTTTCCGGATAGGAAGCAGCCTTATTTTTACTGAGTGCTCCCCACTATGTGCATGTAACACCTGCCACTCGACTGGAGTTTTGTTAACTTGTCTAGCTTTAGAAGTGGCAGATTCAGGTTTTGTGGGGTTGAAGCTTATACTGTTGGGGGAACCTTTAAAAAAAAACACAATGGGGATGGAGTGGGGAATGGGATCAAAAATGGGGGGGCACTGGACTATGGTGAGGGTACACGGGTTAGTTGGCGATGGGAATTCCACGGGGATTACAACTAAGATGGGAAAAGGCAGAAAATGATGTAAAAATAAAATATTCTAATAAAAATTAATTTAAAAGCACACAAAGTGTATATTGAACAAGAAATTACAACAAATTCCCAAAGACTTGGGTTCATAGACCTTTTTTTCCTGAGATTGTTTTGAGCAGATACTTATGATAAATTGCTTCCTGAATGCAAATTAGCTATTCCTTTCCACCTGAAAAATCCGGTTAGAACTGCCCGTTCTTAGTGAAGCTTAAGACTTGCTAGCTTCCGCCCTCCCTGGTGGTGCAAGAGGTTTAAGCACAGCACTATTAAGCTATCTGCAGCCACTACAGCAGTTCTATCCCTGGCCAGGTTGCTGGCCCACATGGCATGGCAGACCTCTCCTGACCACCCGCTGCTCCCCATTCTGTCTCTGAGTATTTCAGTCAATCTGCCGGTTCTGCTCCCCACTGTGTCTCTGGTGAATCCTCTCATTCCCCCCACCCCGCCACCAACTACTTTGGCCTGCAGCCAGCTATTGTATGCATAAATAGGGATCTAGGTAGCATGTCATCTCTAAGTCCCTTGCGTACAGCTGGGGACAGTTGTTTGATATATGTCGGAAGCTGAAAGGCTTAGAAAGGCACCTTACTCCTCTCTAAGGACGAGAAATTTAGAGAAGAAGAAGCAAGGTTGAAAGAAAATACTAAGCGGTGGGACTGAGAGTGAATTCCTCCTCTTGGCTGCAGGGGGAGCTGTCTTTGACAGTGTGACCTAGGGCCTTGAACAGGGCCGCGTTCCAATGGCGGCCATCTCGTTTGCCGTTTAAACTACCCCGAAGGGAAACGGGGCCCCTAGAATTTTGGCGATTAGCTCCCATTTGGGTGGCGAGCATAAGGGTCCTATCACCAAAAATTTACATGAGATAAAGAAATAAAGAGGAAGTCGACTAAAGGCGCCTAAAGCCGACCCCTCTATTTTCTTCAGGAAGGGGAAGTGCTATGCTGCTCTTAGCAACAGCAGGAAGCCGAGGTGGCGGGTTCTTAGCGCAGTCGCAATTGGCCAGCTCGTCTCCCAATCAGCTTTCAGCAGCCATGTCAGTTCCCAGGTTCTCGAGCCTGCATATGACGTACGCACGTCCGGTGGGGGGGCCGGACTTCAAAAGGCGAAGCGGTCGAGTTGAGATCTCGCGAGAACATCCCTCTCCGTCGCAGTTCTCGCGTTGCAGTTTTAATCTCGTCGTAACGAGATCTTTCGAGATCTTCTCCGCCCCCGCTACCGGCGCCCCCTTTGCGGCCGCTGAGCCGGAGCCGGCCTGAGTACAGTCCTGCGCTGCGGTTTTCCTTCCAAGGACCCAGGCACTCGCGTGGACACCAGCAGTCCACCACAAGCCCAGGTCCCCCGACCCACGCGGCTTGCTTTCCGCGCGCCTGCCCCGCCGGGGTCCGTGTCCTGTCTCGCCGGCCGGACCCGGGCTTGAGCCCGATCTGTAGCCGGCGCCATGTCGGTGGTGGGCATAGACCTGGGCTTTCAGAGCTGCTACGTCGCTGTGGCCCGCGCCGGCGGCATCGAGACCATCGCTAACGAATACAGCGACCGCTGCACGCCGTGAGTGTGGGCCTGGCCGGCCGCGTGCACTGGGCGGGGAGGTGGCGCTTGCCGGGGTCTGCGACCCTCGCGGCTTGGGGAATGCGGTTTGGGGAATCAGCTCCATTCCGAACCGAGGGCCCAGTGGGTAGGGGATTCCCTCTGGGTGCCAGGAGTCAACTGCCACGATCCGCGGGGTGGGGTGTGCGCCAGGGGCGAGGCTTATCCTCAGCCCTCCGCCGGCTCAGCGAAGGCTATGAGCGGATACTGGGATCCGCGGAGGGCACGGGTCGGAGCTGGCGGGAGGGCAGGCCTGGACGTATGATGGATCAGGAGACTCTTTAGAGGGCAAAGGCGTGACCCGGGTCATACCGGAGCAAGCACGGACTTCTGAACTTCGCACACAGCAGGCGTTTAATGAAAGTTGAATTGATTGGCGTCTGGCACCCGCCGGGGTAGGTCGGTAGTACCGCCGGAGTCCCACGTGAGTGGGGGCGGGGCGGCGCGGGGCAGGACCCGTGGCCCCGGCTCCGAAAGGTCGGTGGGATGCCGCCGACACATACCGGCATCAGTAAAAACGATGTTTTTTGTTTTGTTTTTTTTTAACCATCTTTCCATCACTTTGGGTTTTCATGGCCTTTCAGTATATTGAACTACGTTGGGTCATTTTGTGCTACGGTTTGCGCACATCCATACCTCAACAAGGTTCCACTTTCACTGTAATACCTTCCAACCTGGGTGTTGGCCGCAGTTAATGAATGACTCAGGAACTCACTTAACTTCCTATATGTAAGTAAGTTAGTGGTACTGGTATAGACACAATTCTAAAAAAGCATGACTCACCAAGGTCTTTCCTTGGATAGAGTGTACTTTTTTTTTTATTTTTTTTTATTTTTTTTTATTAAAAAGTTTATTTTTACATCATTTTTCGCATTTTTTTTTCATCTCAATTGTAATCCCCACGGGTTTCCCATCACCAAATCACCCCTGTGCCACCACCATAGTCCCGTGCATTTCCCTAGAGTGTACTTTTTGAATACATAGAGATACCTTTTAATCTTTTTGTCTTGCTCTTGGAAAAAAAAGTTTTAAGAAGTTTTCTGTCATTAGCTTGGCTGTTGGAGGACTTGATGTTTTATCGCCCGCTTTCACTGTGAACTTTTGTTATGCTTTTTCCAGCCTGCTAGCCAAATTAGATTGCTAGGAGCCCAATTTTTGTTATCTGTAAAGCATAGAACCTTGCCCTTCCTGTTGTCAAATTCTGCTCGTTATTTCAGACCTAGTTCAGGTGCTTCCCCTGAAAACCCACCCCTAGCCCAAAGCAGCAATTTCTTTTTTTGTTTTTTAAGATTTATTTATTTACTTATTTATGCATACCAGAGCTGGGGTATAGACCAGAGGGGTGGAGGTGGGGGTGAGAGGATTCACCAGAGACAGATTGGGGAGCAGGACAGGCAGATTAACTGAAATACACTGCTGAGGGGTGGGGGGGGTGCGCGGAGGAGCCATTCGGAGAGGTCTGCCACACCATGTGGGTCCCCCCCCCCACAATGACTTCAGAGAGCTTCAGAATGCTGTGCTTAAAGAGATTAAACTCAGGTACTGTATGTTAATACTTATAAAGTGTACATTCCCAGGGATGTGTCTTAAGATTTTTTAAAGCACTGAAGTGTTTAAATAAGCATAAATTGGCCCTTCCTGTTGGCGCAACAGAATAAAGCGCAGCACTGCAAGCCAGTTGTAGCCACTTCCAGTGCAGAGTTCCATCCTCAGCCCCATAGGTGGTGTGACACACCTCTCCTGACCCACCTGCTGCTCCTCTTAGCAGTTTACTCTGTCAACCTGCCTGTTCTGCTCCCCACTCAGTCTCTGGTGAATCCTCTCACTGCCCCTGCACCTCTGGTCTGTACTCCAGCTCTGTATGCACAAATAAACTTTTTAAAAATAAGTACGCATAAATTACATTTAGATACTGTCTTCCTCACTGAGTCTTAGCTACCTTCCTCTGTATATAGTATTACTTAAGGAATTTATTTTTAAATATTTATTTATGCATACAAGGACTGGGGTACAGGCCAGAGATGCTGGAGGTGAGATAATCCACCAGAGACAGAGGGGAGCAGAACAGGTGGGTCCATTGAAATACACTGCTGAGGGGAGCAGTTGGTGAGACAGGAGAGGTCTGCCATGCCATGTGGGTCACCTCCGGGGTTTGGGATTAAACTCATGCGGCAGTGGCTGGTGATAGCTTGATAGTGCTGAGATTTAACCCCTTGCCCCACCAGGGAAGTCCTACTTAAGAAACTTAAAAAGGCTAGATAGAGTACAATGCTTATTATGTAATTTGGTCTTTGTCTGCCTAGAATTGCAAAGAGCAATTTAGCACCAAAGAGGAGAGAACCAAATATTGAATGATCAGTGTTCCTGTCCCTTCAGGTCCTTTTGCTTCTATATTTCTTTTAGGCAAGATCAACTACAACATTTTCACTGTGAATTTCATTATTAGAAACTGATGGTGAAAAAAATTTAATTTTTTCAAATTACAGTTCAACTTGTCTCAAAGAGGAAGTGATGGATGACCAGTTAAATGATGTTATTGTGACAAGAAAATACTACTTAAATACTTCCAATGATTTCACCTACCTTTCCTTTTTATTTTCTGTTATATTCCTCAAGAACTTATAGAAGTGCTATGTTGGAGTTGTGACTAGATAGAAAGATTGACTTTTGTTTGCGCTAGTGATTATGGGAGAATAGGTTTAGATTGCAGATACACATAAACTGTGATCTATGTTTGAGTGTAAGCATGGAAATGATGTATATAGGTTCTTATGGTTGGAAGTACCTAATTTAAAACTGTGTAACAGACATTGGATTCACTTTTTGTGGATCCTGCTGAGACACCCTGGCCTTTTTACAAAATTTAGCTTGCCTTCATTATAGCAGATAATTGAGTGCTTCTAATATGTTCTTGTACTAAGCACTGGAGGTATTCTGATGAACAAATAAACAAGGTCATGCATCATGGATATGACTAGTGGAAAAAAACTGATGCCTAACAGAAATACTTAGTTACTGGATGTGGAAAAGACCAAGTTGGGAGAGTACAGAAAACGGGGAGCCTAAATTAAATTCATTGTGGGGTGGAGATGGTAGACGCTTTCAAACAAGTGCCATTTAATTTGGTTACCTTGGGGCTAACTAGGAGTTTATCAGACCTTCGTGGGGTCTCAGAAAGAGCTGGTGGAGGGAGAGGGAATAGCAGCAAATGAGGAAGACCTGGAAGACCTGGAGGCAAGAGGCTTTGACATCGTAGCTAATCTTGAGTCTCTTAAGAGAATGGTATGGGATTAGTCTGGTTAGGAGTTAGGCAGGGTGGACAAGAATACATCAGGGCTTTGTAAATTATGTTAAGATTTTTTTTTTAAGGATCTATTTATCCATACAAGAACTGGGATACAGGCTAGAGTTACAGGGAGTGAGAGGATTTGCCAGAGATTGAGCGGGGAACAAAACAGGCAGACCTAATGAAACACTGCTGAGGGGAGCAGTGGACTGGTCAGGAGAGGTCTGCTGCCATGTGGGTCACCTCCCTAGCCTGGAATCACTCCTGCTGCAGTGGATGCAGATAACTTCGTAGTGCTGTGCTTTAACCTGTTGTGCCACCAAGGAGGACCCTATGTTAAGAATTTATATCTAGGCATGGTGGTTAAGGATATTTATCTATGTGCAATAGGTGGTGATCCAGTTTATATTTTAAAAATCCAGTTTATATTTTAAAAATGTGATTGCCTTTTTTGTGGAGAATGGAGTTACTTGAGAAGGACTACAGAAGTAGAGTTAAATTCTAAGGAGGTTATTAACATATTTAGCCCATGTAGGATTGATGTGGCCCCACTGTAGTGTTGTGGCTTGGGAAAGAAGTGTGGGTGGCTTTTAGATAAACTCTGGAGCTTTAAATTAAGGCTGTATGTGTTCACAATTTTTGAACATAGGGTTTGGTTGGAATAAGGTAGATAGTCTATATTTAGTTGGTGTACAGTAGAGAGGGTACAACTTTAAAGCTTCTTTGAATTTAAAAATGTCATTCACCAGGCCAGATACAAGAGGTGAACGTCTCAGTAAACATTTAGGGGAAAATGCTGTTGGACTGCCAAACATTAGAGAAGTTAATTGGGCCATGCTTCCAGAGTAGAAATCAGTTACTTGTAGAATAGTACTGTGTTGTAACATTTTTATCTGGAACAGAAGTGACTTATTCTACTTTACTGGAACTTGTGAAGATTATAATAAATTAAAACTGTGAACTCTGTAGAATTATTCCTGGCATATGGTAAATACTGCTTAGTGACCTGATATTTGCTGATACTGCTATAAATACTTTGGGCATTTTTATTAATACTTTATTAATGGATTAGATATTGGGACCGTAAAATTAAATCAATAAAAAATTATTTCATGGCCTATCAAATATGTATTTTTTATTGTAATGTGTAAATTTTAGCTAACTCAGGAATTTGCTGTGCTTTTGGAACTCCGTATGGCATAAAAATGATTTGTTTGGTCTGCTTGACAGCAGCCTTGTAGGATAGTTGATAGTTTGGGGGTAAGGCAGTAACCAGAGGATACTCTTTAAGATAGTCATCATTTCTCATTTCTGTGCCAGTTTTGCTTCTGTCTCTTTTGTAATAGTGTAAGTACTGTTGTACTGTTGTGGGTTCTCAGTAAAGCTCCTTTTTTTTTTTTTTAAAGATTTATTTATTTATTCTACAGAACTGGGGTACAGAGGATGAGGAGGTGCCAGAGATGCCGAGGGTGAGAGGATTCACTAGAGACAGAGTGGGGAGCAGAACAGGCAGATCAATGAAGTACACTGCTGAGGGGAGCAGCGGGCGGGTCAGGAGAGGTCTGCCTCGCCATGTGGATCACCTCCAGGGCAGGCAGGAATCGAACTCATGCGAAAGTGGCTTAAGCTTCTTCGTACTGTGCTTTAACCCCCTGCGCCACCAGGGAGGGCCAAAGCTCCTTTTCTTAAGAAGGTGAATTAGAGTTGCAGATGAATTAGAGTTGAAGGTGTCCTAGTGTTGAGAGTACTTCTACACCTATGTAAAAACATGAACCTAACTTTCGGGTATTGTTGCCATTGCTGCTGTTCACATCCCACTAGGATGTGCCCAAGTATTTGGTCTTACACAGAAAGGGTTAAGCTATTCTCTAGCTTAAAAAGACTTAAAAAGGATTTAGAAATTAGAGCAGAGAAATCGATTTGAATTAACTTGTAATGTTAACTTGTGATTTGCAAATAGACAGAAGTATCAAGCAGCAAGTGTCGAGTACTTATTTTTAGCGGCATTGAAATGGAATATACAGGAATAGTAGGTAGAGATTCAACATACATTTATGGCAAAATTATTAAGTACAGATGTAAAATATGCAGTTCAGAGATGAGATTATGTCACTGAGAGATGGAGTAATGAGAAAAGGCTGGAGTGTGACTTGACTAATTAGGATTTGAATAGGGACAGTCTGAGGGATGGTATAGAGGTAGGAATAAACGTAGTGTTTTTGGTAGGCAGTCCAGTGGTGTGCAGTGTGGGAATGGTCTCATAGTCCTGATTTTTGAAACCTGAATTCCATTGTTTATTACATTTTTGTGCATACTAATTGGACTTGAATCAGTTCTTCAGAAACTTGTGTCAATAAAATAGTTCTTTTCTCAAATGTATTTGGGAGTCTCAGTATGGAATGTTAGCACATTGCCTGTTACCTGGTGGTGCAAAGGGTTAAGCACAGCACTGCGAAGCTAGCCTGTTATTTGAACTTTCAGTGATTAAAGCTGTGGCATAAGGAGCTTGAATTGCTTGACTGAAATAGAGGGTTTTTTATATAGGTGGAGATTGAATAGACTGGGCAAGATTTTGGAAGTTCTGGAGAGAGAGAAGTACATATGTTTCTTTTAAATGTCTTGCTTGCTACATGTCAAAATCCTGACAACAAATCCTGTTGTCTTCAGCCACGGAAGACAACAAAGTATATGTTGAGGGTAAGCAAACTGAATGGGGTTTATAGCTTCTGCTTATTTTAGGATTAGTACTTTGGATTGTATGTGAGCAGTTACCTAAATGGCCACCAATAGAGTGGATGAATGTGGAACTACAGATACTTTTTATTTTCTTTATACTGTTAGAATTTTCTAGAAGGTGCTTGCAATAGAAAGCACTGAACTTGGTTCCTAATAGCTTAATCTTACTGGATTTCCTTCCCATTAAGGAGTAACTTTCTTGTGTAAACTTTTAGTTCACCAAAGGCAGTCTTAACTCTGCATACTCCATGTAGGCCTTTAGCCTAAGCCAAATGATTGACAAAGCTGTGTCTCTCTAAAAACTCCCACATTTGAATTTCTAGTGTGTAACTCACTGATGACTTCATTCCCAATTAAGTTATAAGATTTTATCGTTCATTGTTTCCTGCCGCCTTATTTTCAAACTTTCATCTCGATTACTAACTCAGAGAATAGAAAGGATTTATATTTTCAACTTTCCTGTTGACATATCACAGGAAATCATCAGTATTATGTCTACATAGTTTTTATGTTCTAAGAAAACATTCTCAATAGTCACCTTTTGTAGTAAAGGGAGAATTCTTAAACTGTTTCTACTTTGCTGTCTATTTGATTGATTTGAGCACATGTGCAGTAAGAGCGCTCAGCCTCTCAAATCAGTGTGGGTCTGTCCAGATACTTTTTCTGCCTTTTTAGTTGTGTCACCTCTCTCTTGCTTAACCACTCTGAAATTCAGTTTGCTCATTGCTCTAAACTGAGGAATATTACGGCACCAAACTCATAGCTAGTATAAAGATTAAATTTACGTTGAAGGGCTATGTCAGAGACTGACTCATGATGATTGCTGTCACATTAGCTGTTACAGCTCCAGGGAAGCCCTGGTCTGAGTTTCATAGAAAAATTGTACTGACTAGTGTGCTGTGAAAGTTCTGCTTCAACTTTTCAAATTGTCTCTAAAACTTAGTCATCTTTACTAGCCATCTTTAAACTCATCTCCCAATGAGGAATTGAAACTCTTGCTACTTTGATTTTAAAATGACAGTTGAATGGTAGTCATTGGCACAAATTGATAGCAGTTTTCTGAAGGGCGTATGGACTGTGATAAATGAGATATTTAAATGGTACTTGGGGCTGTTTTTAGAGTTTTTAAATTTAAATACTGTTTTTTTTTAAAGAATAATTTTTATTTATGCATACAAGAATGGAGGTGAAGACCAGAGATGCGGGGGATAAGAGGATTCACCAGATAGTGTGGGGAGGCAGAACAAGTGGATCAACTGAAATACACTGCTGAGGGGAGCAGTGGATGAGACAGGAGAGGTCTGCTGCCCCATGTGGGTCAGTTCCCTGGCTGGGGATAAAGCTCGGCACTGGGGTCCAATGTGTATAATTTTTGAGGGGATAATCTCAGTGACAATTTTGGTCCACAGAGCTGAGGGTGCAGAGACATCTTATGAAATCCCAGGTTGTGCCGTTCTAATACAGGACACAGCTGCCCACAGTGCTCGGGAGATTGGGTCATGGGAGCTTTTAGCTATTGTTTGGAAAGGGCCCAAAGGCACCGAGAGACCCAGCTCTGCCAGTTTATCTCCAAGTTTATTTACTATCATCCTAATCAGATAGTTGCTTATTTAATGTAGTCAGACTTGAACCAAGACAGTATTCTTGTTTTTAAAAAATACTCAAAACAGCAGGTTTGTTATAAAAAGGAAAAGAAACTCAAGGATGTTTGCACAGACACAAGTGGGCAGTAAGAGCTGTCCCTGAGAGATACAGGTTAAAAGTGAGGTGTAAACAGTTTTGGAAGCAGAACTTCTGCTGCTGCTTTACAAAGGGAGAAGGTTGGTGACAAAAAACACCTGCATAGTCAAAGGTGGGTGGGGAGAGCTGCTGCCCAGAGTCTCCTATTCTTTATTTTTTTAAAGATTTACTTATTTATGCATACAAAAATGGGTACAGGCTAGAGATGCAGGGGATGAGAGGATCCACCAGAGACAGAGTAGGGGAGCAGAACAGGCAGATCTACTGAAATACATTGTTTGAGAGGAGCATTGGTTGGGTCAGGAGTGCTCTGCGGCACCATGTGGGTCACCTCCCTGGCTGGCATTGAACTTGTGCTGCAGTGGCTGTGGATAGCTTCATAGTGCTGTGTTTTTTTTTTTTTGTTTTTTTTTTAAAGATTTATTTATTTGTGCATACAGAACTGGGGTACAGGCCAGAGGCTCAGGGGCGGTGAGAGGCCCCACCAGAGACAGAGTGGGGAAAAGAACAGGCAGATCAACGAAGTACACTGCTGAGGGGAGCAGGCCAGGAGAGGTCTGCCACGCCATGTGGTCACCTCCGGGGCAGGTGGGAATCGAACTCATGCGGAAGTATCTTTAGATTCTCAGTGCTGTGCTTTAACCCGCCGCGCCACCAGGGAGGGCCAATAGTGCTGTGTTTTAACCCGATGGCCACCAGGGAGGGCCCAATATATATGACTTTTTAAACTAGGACTCAGAAGTCTTGCTTGCTATGGGTTTGGATGTAATGTTGCAATAAAGGTAGATGACTTTAAATGAAAAGTTTTATTTTAAAATAAGTTCAAGGGGTTTCAGTAGACTATGGTAGAGCTTACATCAGAGGAGGTGTGAACCTGTACCTCCAAATCAGATACAGTCTTATAAACCAATGTTACCTCAATAAAAAATAAATTTGATGTTTAAATGCTTGTTTTGTCTTCTAGGGCTTGCATTTCTTTTGGTCCTAAGAATCGTTCAATTGGAGCAGCAGCTAAAAGCCAGGTAGTGTTTTGTTTTTTCTTAAAATGATTATTTCTCTGATTTGTCTATTCTTCCTTTCAGCAACTGTTTGAGTGCTGATTATGGTAGACTCTTAAGTGTACAGCCGAGAGAGAGTTCTTACCCTTAATCATGCATTTGAGTGAAAAACAAATAACTTAAATAATTTAATTTGATGCAAAACTACTAGGATACATTTTACCTAGCAAGATACTATATTTAAGCAGGATATTATTCACTTCTTCTGGTCGAATCCCTGGGGTGGCCAGCAACCTGCAGAGCAACATGCCCAAGTTTTATTGTGACTACTGTGGTACATTCCTCATCCATGACTCCATCTGTGAGAAAGACACCCTGCAGTGGTAGGAAACAGAATATAAAAGACTCCTGTCAGAAATGGATGGAAGAGCATGCTCCATGGTAAAACAACTGCAGCACTTCAACAAGGGAAGATTCCTCTTCCTCCAGTCTCTGTTCCTCCTCCTGGGGGGGGGGGCAGTGAACCCATCTTCTTGCAGTCTGCTGGGTCCTGTACCCTGGTAAGATGCCAGCACCCCATATGGGGAATTCCACCCATGATTCCAGTGATGCACCCTAGTAGGAACTGCTCCTGGAATGAGGCCACTTAGGAGAGGCCACATGGCACTGATGCCTGGACACCCCAGTGATGGGACCTCTTGCTCTATCCATGATGTGCCCACCTGGTCAGGAGTGACTTGGATAGGAGCAAGAACTTCTATCAGTTTTATTTTACTTGTTCTACTTCACAAACAGAGCATGGTGCTGTGACTCCTGAGAGTTTTCTAACAGCATGACAAGAGAAGACTTGCTCCCCTTCCTATCAGAGAGGGAATAGTTTTGGAGGGGACTAAGTAAGATAAAAAGAAGAAACGACAGTGTTCATTTGTATTGTGAAATGGGGAAATAAAATTGTTAACCCTTTCAGTTGAAGAAAACCATACAGACTTACTTGTTCCTTGATATTTTCAATGTTCCTTAAAGTCTGTCTTTTGGCCTTATACTTAGAATCAATATTGTCTCTAGATTTGATCTTGGTAATCACTTTATACAGTCATTATTAAAGTAGGAGGAAGAAAAGAATTTCCTGCCTTACGAGAGAAATGCGCTCTAGGAAGAACTTTGTCTTTTAGAATTTCTTCAGTGGTGTGTCTGAATTTGATCTTATTTTAACTTGAGAGAAAGTAGCTACTACAAAGTGTGCTTAAAGAATGAAGTACATAAAGGAATGTAGCACACATAAAGTGGTCACTAGTTTATTTGCAAGTCAAAAACCTGGCATGTTTGCTGGTTTCTGAGTGACCAGAATATCAGGACTTCATCAGTTCTTTTATCCTGAGTGTAAAATGAAGGACTTGATATATTTAACCTTTCTAAGGTTCAGTCCAGAGCACCATGTCAAATGAATAGTTAACTGTCTTTTTCTGGGTGGAACAGAGTCTAAAATTTATAAGCCTTGAAAATAATGGTTGGCTAACTGATTTTTACTAATTTGGGTGTTCTGTAATCTCATTTTCAGTAAGTTCAAGATCTCTTGGGCAGAGATAACAAGTACAAAACTACTGTGAATAATCTTTCCTTTAAAACTCCTATAAATTCTTTCTGATTCTAAACTTTTTCATTGTGAATAGTTACTGTATCAAACTGACTGCCTGGTTCTAGGTTGATATAGTTATTGTGATCCTGAGTTTCTTCTTGGCAGCCTTACTTGGGAGGCCTCATTGTTTCACAAAGGACTCTTGTGTGAACATTTTGACATAGCTGACAGAGAAGCTCAGCAGTTTTTCCTGTAGAGGCTTGTTATACTTCACTCTTGCATTTGGAAAGAGGAGCCTATAAATTCTAAACACATTTATTTTTAGAGTTTTTCCATGTATTTGCTAACATTAAAAATACATAGTTTATTCTAAGAAATTAGAAAATACAAATATCAAGTTACCCATGCTGCCATTACTGTTAGTTTCTTAATATCTAACCTTTGTATTGTTTTTAAGCATATAAATCTTTCTGTTTCCCTCCAAAAAAGCAAGATCATACTAATACCATACACCTCCTGTTTCCAACATCCTGAACAGTCTCACCCACTACATGGATAAATCAGTTTACTTACCTGTTTCCGTGGTACTGACTGATTAGACTATTTCCAGTCTGCTCTTGCTATAAATACTACTCTGTTGATACCTTCTTGCATTCATCCTTGTTTGCCTAGTGTCTTTTTTTCTTGTCTGTGTATTTCACTAGAGTTTCTGAATTGACAGACTAGCTATTTAAAAAAAAAAAACTCATTTCTTATATATGTTTACTAGAAGTTTAAGAAAATAATGAGGGTAATGAATAGTCTGTTTTCATGAAGATGCAGAACAAGCTAGTCCCTGCCTCTGTGTAACTTATTCAGAACTCTTGCCCTCATTTCAGATGCAAGTAAGCATAATTCTGACTGAGTTTAGTGCTAAAGAAAACTACTTCAGAAGAAACTTAACTGTGGGGTTAAAATGATGCAAATTTAATCTGAGGCGGTTGAATTTTTTTCTCTACTGTAGTGTGTTTTAATTTTTTCATTCCTTAACTCTGGTATTATTTTTCTTAGGTAATTTCCAATGCAAAGAACACAGTCCAAGGATTTAAAAGATTCCATGGCCGAGCATTCTCTGATCCATTTGTGGAAGCAGAAAAATCCAGCCTTGCATATGATATTGTACAGTTGCCCACTGGATTGACAGGTATAAAGGTAAGGTTCTCAAAATAAGCCTATGATTAAAAAGCAGCATTTTGTTTTTTTCATGTCAGCATATGTCTGTACCATCCTACTTTGAAAGTGCTTACAAATAATTGGGAAACTTTTGCTAGTAAAAAACATTGGGCATTTTGAGGATTGATGTAGATTTTGTTTGGGAAACATAAATGGCACTGTTAATGTGAATTGAATGCATAGGTGGTGGTGACTTGAGGTTAGGTTTGAGGTTAACACTTCCATTGTTGCTTGTTTTATGTGCTGATGCAGCAGTCTTGTGTGATTTTAAGGAAAGACTACTGGAAGTGTGAGAAAAATCAACATTTCAATATTATTAGCCAGCTATGTGGGTATCATTTTGACAATAGTAGAAGTTAGATTGGAAAGGAAAGACTTAAAATTGGGAGAAAGGAAGTCTAATCTTTGATATCTCTGGAATAGCTAAAAGTCTTTGTGAAGCATGCAGTGAAGTGGATGGGTACGGTGGATATAACTACCTTGTATCTATCTGGAGGTGTCCGGAAGACTGTTTGAGCTTTTCAGGCAAATTAGTTTAGAGAAAGATTTAGTGATTGAGTTACCACAGTTAGAGAAATGAAGTTCTTGGGAACAGGCATCAAAATTGAACACATGATGAGGATTGTGGAGAAAAGGTGGGTAGTTGTGCCATTATAGCTGATAATTCAGTTGGATTTAGAGGTGAAGAATTAGGGTAGCTGAAGAGTGATTGCTGGGTTTACTCAGCTCATCTGTGGTATTAATCTCAGAAGTTTGTATGTCCTAGTAAGGGATAAATGTGGATAGCAGGGAGGAGAAAAGGAAAAGAAGGTGAAGGAATGGGGGATTATTTAGGGTTAAAAAAGAAACAGGAGAGTTGCTGTGCAGATTTAGTCATGCATTAAAACTCAAAGAAAAAACCAACTAGGGAGAAGATGCACAAAGCAGAGGAATTGACTAAGAATTAATAAACACATAGCAGGGAGGACCGGGCAACTTGAAAGGGAGGAATATTTTCTCATCTTTATCATGAAATAAAATGAGTAACTTAAATTCTAAATCAGAATAAAATGTAGTTGGAATGGGAAGTGAGCAAGTTAGAAGGCGGCGTTCAAGCTGAGTTAGAGCTGTGCCTGAGAGGGATATTATCTGGTCTGGAATGTACTTGGGGAATGTGAGCATTGGGATGGGGCTTATTCTGTACAGTCTGTCAGTGTCTGAAATTTGTGAATCTTGTCAGTTGCAGACTTTTATCCAGGACAGAATATTACAAAACTTGATTCATCATTTATTTTTGAATTCAGTACATATTTATTGTGCCAGGTCTGCCCTAGGTGTTGGGGCTATAACTGAAGAAATGTGACAAAAACCATCTCAATTGGGGAGATGATAGTAAACTCAACAAAGGAAATAAAATAAAATAAAAATAGAGTATGTTAAATAGTAAAATAGTTTCCATCTTTAGTCCCTTTTTTGAAGACGCCAAGTGAGTCATGGTAAGCTGTTTCAGTTTGCTTTGATCCAGATAGTTTAAAGTTGTGCTGGTGGTCTCACATACTGTTTACATACTGTTCCTTATCTCCAAGTACTGTGTGTGACAAGCTTGTTAAAAAGTTACAAGTGACTTTTAAGTTAAGTTATATTTGGTACCCAAATTAGATGTCTCTCTTTGTCTCTTGAGATAGTGTTCCACTGAGGATGCGAGCTATTTGCTCATGTCTGCATTTAGGATTTAAAAACTATAAGAATTCTATATCTTTGTTTGTTGTTTTAAATATAGGTGAAATACATGGAGGAAGAGCGCAATTTTACTACAGAGCAAGTGACCGCCATGCTTTTGTCCAAACTGAAGGAGACTGCAGAAAGTGTTCTGAAGAAACCTGTTGTAGACTGTGTTGTTTCGGTGAGTTTGATCCCTTCAAATAACTTGTGTGAAGAAACAGAAGCTCTTAGTTGCCAATAAATTTGCTTTTTTATTCCTGTTGTAATGATTATTTTAAGAATTTAGCAAACTGGTCTTCATTGGACAGTTTATACTGCTCCCTGGTTTTTGGTCAGGACTCCTATGTTATTCGGTTAAAGAAGCTTGCTTCATGAATTCCTTCCTATACCTAGTATGATGCCTAGCCTCCAGTAGTTGTTAGTTGCAACTCAGCTAATGTGTGAATTGTTGAGTTAGTTGAGTACTAATGCTTAAAGAAAGATTTATTTATGGATATAAGAATTAGGGTATAGGCCAGAATTGGGGGGAGGGGCAGTGTGAGAGGATTTACCAGAGACAGAATGGGGAGCAGAATCTTGTCTTTTCTTTGTTCTTACTTGGATGGAAACCTGTTTATTTATAGCTTTTGTGTGTTGAAGTTCTTTTGGAATGTTCAATTTTTGGTGGATATTTTAGCTTTTGCTAATGACTCTTCAGCAGTTGTCTGACATTTTAGCTCTGTGGTCTCTTTTGTACTAATGTTGGTACATTAATTGCAAAGCAAAGGACTATTAGTTATTTACCTTATAGTTACCTGGTAGATCCATTGTCCTGGTCCTGGCTACCTAGAAAATAAATCTCACATGTCAGGAATAACTGAATTGTTGGCTATGTGACCCCTACATTCTGGAGATGCAAAGAATAAAAATACTGTTTTTCTCGTCAAAGAGTTCATATGCACTGCAGTCATGATATTTATTAGTTTTTGCCTTTTCCCAAATCTCTAGTGGTCGCTCAGATTTCCCCTTCCCCGTGCCCTTAACTTTTTTTAAAGATTCATTTTATCTATTTATACAGGATTTATTTTATCTATTTACGCATACAAGGACTGGGGTGTAGGCCAGAGATCTGTGTGTGGGGGGTGGAGTGAGAAGATTCACCAGAAAGCATAGGGAGCAGAAACAGCAGATCTACTGAAATACACTGCTGAGAGAACAGCCAGAGAAACAGGATCACCTCCCTGACTGGGGATCCAGGATAGAACTCATGTTGTAATGGCTGGCAGTAGCTTGATAGCGCTGAGCCTTTAACTCCTGCACCACCAGGGAGGCCCAAACTGTCTGTCTATCTGTATTTACTCATTTATTTTTTGATGGTATAAGTCATTTTTATTCAAATACTAAATACTTAAAAAAATAATATAATAATTTATTTTCCCATCATTTTGTGCCTTTTTCTATCTCAGTTGTAATCCCTGTGGGCTTCCCATCACCAAATCACCCGTGTGCCATCACCATAGTCCAGTGCGCTTTCCTCCCCCACTGTATTTGTTCCCATTCCCCATTCTGCCCCTGTAAAATGTCTCTGGTATATAGTTGTTCATTATTATTTTCTCCCCTGAGAAATAATACTCCTGCTATGAGTGAAACCATCTGGTATTTTTTCTTTTCTTTCTGGCTTATTTCACTAAGTAGGATCCCTTCCAGCTCCATTCATGTTGCCCATGAAGTTAATTGTTTAAGAATCTTAGTAGTAGAAACAACCCTCTCCCTGCTATGTTTAAAAAAATCAGTTAATTGTATAAAGGGTTGTGTAGGAAACTTCACCACCCTAAGTAGTTTTTCCTTCTCAGAGATTGCCAGTTTTACCCATTTGTTGTAGAGCTTTTCAGAGGTACTGTATACTCAAGTATGTATAGATCCTTTATTTCATTTTTCTTCTGACAAGTTTTAGGTCATTTATTTTGCACTTATTCCATAACAGGAAGAAATACTTCACTTTTTTTAATGGCTGTAGAGTTGCAATTTATGCATGTTCCATTATCTGTTAAACCAGTCTATTTTTGTTGGCTAACTGGTTTGCTTCCTTTTTTTTTTTTTTTGGCAATGAATGCTACTTTGAGTAGACTTGAACTAATACTAGTTTGCTTTTATGTGATAAGTTTGTAGTATTTACAGAGTTCCTAGAAATGCAATTATGAATACAAACATGTATGTTAGTTTAACAACTGTTGTTTAATTTCCCTTTAAAGAATTTATACTAATTTACTCTTTCACTGGCACAGTGAGTAATAGTTTCAAAGTGTATGCGTTTTTAATATTTTACTGAATAGGTGGAGTTGAGTATTTTAAGATTTTAGAGCCCTTTGTCTTTATCTTTCTGTGAGTTCTAAACTTCACTCATATTGATTTTTATGGTCTTCATTTTGATTTGTTGTTCTTCATATATATTAATTTCCTCTTTGCCCTTCTATGATGTGAGTTGCAAGTATTTTCCCCCAGTTGATCATCAGAACTTTTTTTAGCTGAATATATTAATCCCTTGCTCCTTATATTCTTTCTATATTTAGAAAATTCTTTCCTACATTGATACTAAAGATTCCTCTTCATTTTGGTACTCTGTGATTTTTTTATTTGAAATATATTTTGGTATAAAGTGTGTAGTAGGATACAACTTTTTTACCCCCCCGTGTGACTATTTGTTCCAACAGTACTGACTATCCTAAATTTTCTCTACTAGCTTGAAAGTCTTCTATTATAATATACAGAATGTTTTTGTAGATATTTGGGGATATTTCTAAGTTACTGTGGTTTGGCCTGTTAAGTAAAGAATTTCTATAATAACACTAAACTTCCAAATACTTTTTTTAGGTTCCTTGTTTCTATACTGATGCAGAAAGACGGTCAGTTATGGATGCAACACAGATTGCTGGACTCAATTGCCTCCGATTAATGAATGAAACTACTGCAGGTGAGAGAGACATTAAAAGAATTTTTTTGACTTGTTCAGTCTTGAAGTTTGTGAAATCTGAAAACTCTAAGGTTTCTTATTTTTTTTCCCTTGGATCATTTATCTGTGTGTCATAGAATTCATCATTGTTAATATGTTACATAGTCACATAATGGCTTTTGTGTTGGGAACTGCTATTTTTTTTTTTAATGATTTATTTACTTATGCATACAAGAACTGGGGCACAGACCAGAGGTCCAGGGCGGGTTGGGGAGGTGAGAGATTTCACCAGATACAGAGTGGTGAGCTGAACAGGCAGATGTATTGAAATACATTGCTGAGGGGAGCAGTGGGCAGGTTGGAAGAGGTCTGCAGTGCTATGTGGGTTAGCTCTCTGGCCTGGTATCAAACTCATGCTGCAATGACTATGGATAGCTTCATAGTGTGTGCTTTTATCTGTTGTGCCACCAGGGAGGGCCTGGGGAACTGCTTTTTGTCTGACTTGTGGACTGGTAGAGTCAGAAATGTGCTGTAAAAGAAAATTCCAGGGAATATAGGATATATAGTAATGTTGAGATGGCACAGGGTGGAAGAAATTTAGGAAACAAATAACGTACAGTTGGGCAAGTGTTTTGGAAAAAATTGCCACACTCATTGCAATTGGAAATTGGTAGTGTTCAGGCAACCTAACTGAATGTCAGCATTTAACTCTTGGGAGTTAATGTGCTCCATGAATAAATTATGCAAAGCTTATAAAGAATTTGATTTTCTCAGGAATTCAGAACACATACAGCTCCATTCACTATACACAAAATTGTTTTTCACTGCTAAGTGAGCTTGAAGTTTACTATTTAAATGATAATAGCCATGTTAGAATTCTTTTTTTCTCCCTAAATGTAGTTGCTCTGGCATACGGAATCTATAAGCAAGATCTTCCTGCCTTAGAAGAGAAACCAAGAAATGTAGTTTTTGTAGACATGGGACATTCTGCTTATCAAGTTTCTGTGTGTGCGTTTAATAGAGGAAAACTAAAGGTATGTATTTTTTCCAGAAGACTATTGCAAGTATATGGTAATTAGAAGTTTATGAGAGACAATTAAATAATTGGCTAAAGAATTTTGTTCACTATTGGAAACTTTCTGTGAGTCATCTGAACTAGAAACTAGGTATGTAGGGGTGGAGTAGAAGTTAGAAGCCCAAAATAATTGTAGTAAGTGTTGGCATGGTGTGTGGCAAGAAAATAGACCTTGTGGAAAAAGCTTTGAAAGTGCGAAATTATGCAGTTTTTTTAGGAGTAATGTTTTTGTCTGTATTGGTTTAAATTCATGTCTTACAGAACAGAGGGGAAGCGCAAGCTCCTTTGCATAGAAATACGGGACAGCATCATACCACAGGGCCCATAGGAGTGGTTGGAGACAGTGCTTTCCTTGGGAACAGCAGTTCTAATCCCAGGAATGTTTTTTGCCAGAAGACTGGGCAGTTAGAACTCCCATCCACTCAGTTTGGTTCCAATTTCCTATAATTCCCCCTCCTGGAACTGTGACTCAGGGGAGGATCCCATATAACATTGTAAACATACAAAATCTATATTACATGTGCTTCAGTTTGGTGTTAGCTAGTCAGTTGGGTCCTGTATCTCAGGAGCCTTGCCCAGTTTCTCAAGCCACCCCTGCCCTACCTGGACAGAACCAGAAACAGGCACGGTCTCCTGTCTTGGTGGGAACCAACAGACAGGGCCCAGGCCTCAGCATCCACTCTTACTCTAGAGTCATGTATGTCTCTGTGTGCGTACCTACACACGTGCATGCACACAGGCAAGTATACAGAGGAAGAATCTGTAGGTACAAAGGGAGGCGTCGTGTCAGATGCTAGACAGCTGGGGGCAGCTCTAGCTTATAGGTAGATTGTCCTCTAGTCTCCTGTGATGGTGGTATTGCACTAAGCTTGGCACCCAAGGTCCACAGCCAGAGTTGATTACAGTGCACATGCCAACATTAGATAGGCACTAGCTGCATCAAGTGAGGCCATGCAGATGAGGCATTTGTAATGGTCCCTGTGATGCTGCTGCCATCATAGTAATTCCCTGACTGAATCTTTAGGACCTCAAATGTTAACACCAACTGTTCTGATAGGATTCTTTAACATGTAGTTTCTTGGCATCTTTTACATTGGAGGATTGAGTATTCTGAGGAAAGGATAGGAGGACTAGAACTTTGATGTCTAAAGAAAGTAATCTAGGAATAATAATTTAGACTGCTGGAAATCTTAGAATTCTGGAGAAAGCTGTTTTGTCACAGAGAAATTGAGCACTGTTCAGGCAAGAAAGGGCCAGACGGGGTTAACAGTCAGAGCTGATTTGCTGGTACAAGCCATTTCCATAGTGAGTTATATCAGTTTTCTAGCTATATGATTTTATGTACCACTTGTTTAAGCACAAGGGTTTTTTTTTTTTTTTTTAAGATTTATTTAATTTTGCATATAAGAACTGGCAGAGGATTCACCAGAGACAGATGGGTAGCAGAACAGATAGAAATACTGAATTCAGCACACTGCTGGGGGAGCTGCATCTTGGTATTCATTTTTGTGATAATGATTAGCCTATAACTGTATGTCAGTGACATATTAGTGTATTTGGCCTTCACTGTATAATTGTTGTTTGGAGTCAGATTAATATAATGGAGGGAGCTAAATTTTGAATTTTTCTTCTACTTGTTAGCTCTGTGACCTGAAAATTATCTGATCTGCCTAGGCTTGTAGCATTATCTGAAAATTGGAGATCACAGTTTTATTTGCTCAGTGGTGGTAACACTGATTAAATGACACATGCACATTGTCTTGCTTCAACCCCCTTTTATTACAATTTGCCACTGAAATATGATAAAATTTTAAAATTGGTTAATTTTTGGATTATCTTTTTGTCTGCTAAGGTTTTGGCCACTGCGTTCGACACAACATTGGGAGGCAGAAAATTTGATGAAGTGTTAGTAAATCACTTCTGTGAAGAATTTGGAAAGAAATACAAGCTAGATATAAAGTCCAAAATCCGTGCATTATTACGGCTGTCTCAGGAGTGTGAGAAACTCAAGAAATTGATGAGTGCAAATGCTTCGGACCTTCCCATGAATATTGAGTGTTTTATGAATGATGTTGATGTATCTGGAACTATGAACAGGTAACTGTCTTAATATTTTGATGATACAATGAATTATGATCCCCCCTACCATTCCACTTGTATTAGCTATAACTAGCTAATTATTGAAATCATGTTTGTATTGTAAAACTGGAATTCTGCAGTTAAAAATTGGGGACCGTTCAGGATCCTGCTTTTCATGTGAAGGTTGGGCGTGGTTATTTAGTAGTGTGGACTAATGTTTCATGTGTGTGCATTGTCCATTAGTTACTAGTTTTCATAAAATCTGTGTAAAGTGTTTAGTGCAGAATTAGTAAATTTGATACAGTAATTCAGAAACTGACATTTGGAGTAATTAAGGATCACCGACTATAATGGTTCTGTTTGTACAGTGCTACAAGATTTGTGGATAATTGACATTTCAGATTATCATCAGAAACATCCAGAATATTTTTGTTTTCTGATTGGATTGAGTGGGTGATGATAATGACATACTTTTCAGGATTTGAACTTTTTTGGTAGGGTTTAGTAGGAAAGATTGATGAATTGCGTTGGGAAGTGTTCCCTGAGCTTTCTTCAAAAATTGGAGACGGTATTAAAATTTGCTTCTAATCTTCCATGTAATTAGATTTTTTTTACTAAGGAACAGGTGTGTGTGTGTGTGTGTGTGTGTGTGTGTGTGTGCGCGCGCGCGTGCGTGCATGCACATGCCAGGGGTTCTAGGAATAAGGATGTACTGATATGTGTCTTGGAAATTGTGGGATGTTAGCTGATAATAAGAGCCAACTAATACTTGTAAGTAGTTTATACTCTTTAAAAACTAACCTCTGTTAATTAACCTCTGTGTAGCCTTTTTTTTTTTTAAAGGAAATACATTGATACTGTATCAACATTGTCAAGATCAAGAGCTCATAACTGTCTCATTTACTAATTTTATAATCATGGTTCTTGGTATTGACAAGCCATCTTTTTTTTTTTTAACTATGAAACCATATTATTTCTTCTAATGAAAGTCTTTCAAAAATTGCAGTGAAACTGACATATCATTTCATTCATTCATTTATTTTATGCATACAAGAACTGGAGTACAGGCCACAGATGTGGGGGGGGGGGTGAGAGGATTCACCATGACTGAGTGGGGAGCAGAACAGGCAGATCCACTGAAATACATTGCTGAGGGGACCAGTAGGTGAGACAGGAGAGGTCTGCTGCAACATGTGGGCTGGGGACCAAACTCGTGGTGCAGTGGCTGCAAATTTCTTTATTGTGCTGCATTTAACTCATTACACCACTAAGGAGGGCCCCATTTCATTTTCTTTTTCTTTTTAAATTATTTTACAACAGTTTATTTTTACATCATTTTGTACATTTTTTTCCCCATCTCAATTGTAATCCCCGCAGGTTTCCCATCACCAAGTCACCCGTGTGCCATCACCATAATCCCATGCACTTCCCTCCCTAACCCTCTGTTTTTGA